CCGTTAGGCTCATTTCCTAGATAACAGAAGATTCAATTTGAAAAACCAAATTTCACATTTATAGATAGGTTTTTGCAACAACAGATAAAGCTTATTAATTGTAGAACATAAATAAAACCACCATAAGAAAGTAAATAAGGCTCCTGCTCATGTCTAGTCATTAAAGCAAATAATTCCAGAGACAAGCGGAGACAAATAAACATGTGCTCAACAGATGTTATTTAGGAATGCACAATAATGCAAACAAACAAAACTGAAGAAACTATTTCCTTTAACATTCAATCACTACATGTTATATGTAAAACCTAAAATTTCTGATTTTGGTCCTTGAGTATGGAAAATGAAACTATCCAACTAGGGCTCTGCCTCAAGGTAGAAACATAATATTCAGGGTATAATGACATATCTTAAATGACTATTGCCAATAAGGCTTTGAATGCTCAAGGTTTTGGGTGATGAACACATATTATTGGGCATCTATAGCACTTAACTTGCAGAATATACAGATGTGTTGATAATTAAATACATTTACTAGGGAGGAAATGGAGCTTAGAAAAATCAATTGCAACTATGGGAGTTAAATTAGAAGACCTTGCTAAGGGCATCCCTTTGCATTGCACCTTGCTTTGAACCAAAACCAGTGGCTTGACGCAGTATTTCTGTCCATGTTAAAGGGTTTAGCGATCCCTTCCAGAATTCCAAAGTGGGTTCTTGATTTTCAACCTGCCAAATCATTTGATAAAGATGCTTAGTTATTGAGTACTTCCATTCAATTTTTTCATAAAAATATGAAATAACAATTGATTTAAGAGATGAGCAAGAGTCTCAAATATTTGACAAAAATAAGTATACCACAAACGCAAGTGGATCGTCTAAAAGTGCATATGGATGGACTACTAATAGTCTGATTATGATTTGGTTCAGAAAATTTCTTGTCGCCTAAGCGTATCTATCAGACATTCTGGAATGGACACCTTCTCTGTAGTCACACCAAACTTTTGATTATTTGCTGATATCCTCTTTACTATATTCTTTAAATGTATCTGATATCATTTTGCTACTTTCAGCGGTATTTAACTTCCCTGTAAAGAAACATGTCAACAGTCTTATAAATTGCATTCACTTTTTGTTACCAACAAAGTTCCAAACATATGAGCCTTTAGAAAACTGCTGTGACATATATGTACCCAAATGAAATGGTCAATATGACTATACAAGATTATCATAAGTTAAATGAACTGTAAATGTCTGTGATCTGCATGATTATATGTTGTTTGTTCATTACTCACCGAGTGAATAAATGCAAGAAGATTGCATGATTTGCTCAAATGAGGTATATAGACCCACAGCCAAGCTCGGCTTCAACATTAGATAGAAGAAGCTTCAGAAGGGCCACATGAATTTTTCCAAGTAGCAAGGAATCCTAAAAGGCATTTTACGAAACAAAGATGTTGAGCAAGTAGAAGACACAATAAATCCGATGTTGGATCAAAGATAAGATATAACCTTGTCCTAAAATGCTTGGCCAAACTCATCAATAGTGAAGGAGCTTATATCTACCATATTTGCAAGTATAATGGAAATGGAAAACATGCCCAAGAAAGTGAACCCAGAATATATTTGAGTACGATAACTAAACAAAATGTTGCAATCTGAATTGATGACCCCATACACATTTGTTAATAAACCCAACAAAAAAAAAAGTGCAGCAATCTAGAGTGCTTTAACACTGCACATCTTTTCACTCGCCAGTTTCCATAAGGAATTTTAAAGTTGACAAGATAATAATAAATTCCTACACTAGGTACGAACTACACAAAAGAGAGTTACAACTTACAAGTAGATTCCAATATCAAATTTAGACCACATTCCATTTATCTCTAGGACTTGATATATCTTTTTCTTAAGTATATATCATAGTTTGCATAACATCTCTGCAAGAACAACCTATGACTTCAATCAATGCAATGAGAGCGTTGACGAAAAAGATTGGTAAGAGTAATGAGAGACCATTAGGTAGTATTAGCGAGCACAAAATAATTATTCCAAGCTTTTATAGGTCATATAATCATGAATAATAAAACAGACCTCATAAATAAGAAAAAGCAAATGCAATAATAGATGGAGTGTATGACATCTTTCACGAACGATGTCCTATATTTGCAAAAGAACTTAACAAAATCAGGCCACAAACAGTTTGCAACTCACATACCTTGAACAGTTTCTTGACAATCTTTGGAGAAGAATCCCAAGGTTGCATACAGAATGGCTGCTTCATCTTCACAGAATTTGGAGGAAACTTGGCTAGCAAATCTGAAATCCCAAAAATTCCTTATCCACAGCACAAAATACTATACATGCAGGCACATACATATTACAACATTTCATTTTAGAGTGGAAAATTTGTTCCGTTCTTCCTTCAAACCAACCTTTGCAAAGTGAACAGGCATGATCTCCATTAGTAGTAAAATGATCAGAGCACCCCAGTGCATTTGGCCTTCCTTGTAATTCTCTCAGCTCCAGCTCTTCATCATCCACAAGCATTGCAATCTTATCCGAGTGTTCTTGGGAACCTGCTCCTTCCAAAGCAAGTTCACATTTTTCTTCGCTTGGCAGAGTCTCATTTGAGGACTTTAGATTTGAGGGATTTGATTTGAGTATGAGAAATTTGAGATTTGAGTATGAGAAATTTGAGATAAGGCATTTGAGGACTTTAGATTTGAGGGATTTGATTTGAGTATGAGAAATTTGAGATTTGAGTATGAGAAATTTGAGATAAGGCATTTGAGGACTTTAGATTTGAGGGATTTGATTTGAGTATGAGAAATTTGAGATTTGAGTATGAGAAATTTGAGATAAGGCATTTGAGGACTTTAGATTTGAGGGATTTGATTTGAGTATGAGAAATTTGAGATTTGAGTATGAGAAATTTGAGATAAGGCATTTGAGGACTTTAGATTTGAGGGATTTGATTTGAGTATGAGAAATTTGAGATTTGAGTATGAGAAATTTGAGATAAGGCATTTGAGGACTTTAGATTTGAGGGATTTGATTTGAGTATGAGAAATTTGAGATTTGAGTATGAGAAATTTGAGATAAGGCATTTGAGGACTTTAGATTTGAGGGATTTGATTTGAGTATGAGAAATTTGAGATTTGAGTATGAGAAATTTGAGATAAGGCATTTGAGGACTTTAGATTTGAGGGATTTGATTTGAGTATGAGAAATTTGAGATTTGAGTATGAGAAATTTGAGATAAGGCATTTGAGGACTTTAGATTTTAGGGATTTGGATTTGGGAGAATTTGGAAACGATATCCATGGCAGCGGAAGGATTTAAGAATAAGATAAAAAAGATGTGTTTTAGGGTTTCGGGATTCAGGATTCAGGATTCAGAGTGTGTTTAGGGTTTCGGGATTCAGGATTCAGGATTCAGAGTTTCAAGATTCAGGGTTTCGGGATTCAGGATTCAGGATTCAGGATTCAGGGATTCAGGATTCAGGATTCAGAGTTTCAGGATTCAGAGTTTCAGGATTCAGGGTTTCGGGATAAAAGTATATGAGGATGTGGGTATGAAGATCTGAATCTGAACAAGGCGGTATGAGGAATACAATACGAGGATACGAGGAATTTGATTTAGGATACGAGGATATGATACGAGGATATGAGGGATACTATACGAGGAATGTAAAGAATACAGAAACCCTGTGAACACGGCTAAGAACACAGAAACCCTGTGAATTCGGTTAAAGGAT